CCAACTGCTTCCGGCGAAAAAAGATAGGCAGGAGCTGAGAGTAACCCCAAAAACAGGGAGCAGTCCCAAAGGGTCTGGACATCAGAGGTAGAGCCAGGTGCTGGCAACAGGGTCCATGAACCACACTGGAGAAGGCCAAGGACTAAACCAGCTGCAGGATCCACCTGGAGAAGCAAAAGGAAGCTAAGATGGAGGCAAGCTATAGTATTGATCCAAAGTTCATCCCAGGGACAACATATGTACAGAACAAATCCAAGGTTCCTTCAGAAAGCAGAGCCATCAATAGGACTAAAATTCATATCTGCCCAAGCTTAAATGAAGGTTCTGGAGCAATGGGCACAAGGGGTCACTGGAGACTCCCAACAAGGGTGGTCAGGACCAATAAGGTCTTGACTCGACATTGTCACTTCATAGAATCATAGAATCATAGAACCATTAAGGTTGGAAGGGACCTCTAGAGATCATTTAGTCCAACCCCCTGCATACGCAGGGTCACCTAGAGCACGTGGCACAGGACTGCGTCCAAGCAGGTTTTGAAGATCTCCAGAGAAGGAGACTCCACAACCTCTCTGGGCAGCCTGTTCCAGTGCTCTGTTACCATCACTTAAAAAATTCTTCCTGCCCTTGAGGTACTTCTAGACAATGCTCAGGTCTCTCTCAGCCTTCTCTTCTCCAGGCTCAACAGGCCCAGCTCCGTCAGCCTCTCCTCATAGGGCAGATGTTCCAGGCCCCTGATCATCCTCGTAGCCCTGCGCTGGCCTCTCTCCAGCAGCTCCACATCCCTCTTGTCCTGTGGAGCTGAGAACTGGACACAATACTCCAGATGCGGCCTCACCAGGGCTGAGTAGAGGGGCAGGATCCCCTCCCTCGACCTCCTGGAGACTCTTCTTAACGCACCCCAGGATCCCATTGACCTTCTTGGCCACGAGGGCACCTGCTGCCTCATGGTCAACTTGTGGTCCACCATAGTGCCCAGGTCCCTCTCTGCAGAGCTGCTCTCCAGCTCTTGGGGCCCTGGCAATGACAAAGCTGACAGTGTTGTCCAATCAACACAATTCTCAGAGCTGAGAGAGCAGGCAAGAGGCACCTCAGCTGAAGGAGGGAATCAAGGATCTGCCCATGCTTCCTGTGTTGCTCCGTTGTGCTCTAACATAACACTGAGCTGCAGGAGTCTAGCCAGCAAAAATAGAAATATGGAATTTACCCCCCAAAATGAACGATTCTC